GTTCTGCATGCTTAGTGTTTTGACTCTTATGTGGCAATGATACTTACTTTTCTGGCCTGATCTATATGGTGTTCTGTAAGCTTCTTGTCCCTTAATAGGTATGTCCTTCTTTAGGAAGTTTTTTTTTTTTTTCTTGTATGCTTTTGTTAAAAAAAAAAAAAAAATTCTGTCTGGGTGATGGTGGCACATACCTTTAGTCCTAGCATGGGGGAGGCAGAGGCAGGTGAATCTCTGTAAGTTCAAGGACAGCCTGGTCTACAGAGTGTGTGTCATGATAGCCAGGGCTAAACAGAGAAATATATTTTCTATCTTTGAGCTGGATTCTTAGGTTTTGTCTTTTCATAGTGTCCCAGCTTTTCTGGATGTTTTATGTCAGGAATTTTTTAGATTTAACATCTTCTTTGACTGATGTATCTATTTCTTCTATTATATCTTTAATACCTGAAATTGCCTCTTCTGTCTCTTGTATTGTGTTGGTGATACTTGTATTGGTAGTTCATATTTACTTATCTAGATTTTCCATTTCCAGAAATTTCTCAGTTTGTGTTTTCTTTATTGCTTCTATTTCCATTTTCAGATCTTGAACAGTTTTGTTGTTTTTCTTCAACTATTTGTTCTTTCTGATCTTTCTTTAAGGGATTTATTAATTTCCCTCCAATTGTTTGTGTTTTCCTGGATCAATCTCTCTCTCTCTCTCTCTCTCTCTCTCTCTCTCTCTCTCTCTTGTTGGCTGCTTTTGGTTTTTGAGATAGGGTCTAACTAAGTAGCCCTGGCTATCTTGGAACTTAGTATATGGACACACCAATCTTGAACTCAGAGATCTGCCAGCTTCTGCCATCACATGCAGCCCAAGTTGGTTTGAAGGTTGTCTTTTTCTTCAGCTGTGTTGGAATATTCAGGGCTCGCTGTAGTAAGGTAGCTGGTTCTGGTGGTGACATATTGCCATTGGTAGATACATTGGTATCTAGGCATCTGAATTTGGAGTTATTATAGATTTAAGTGCAAATTTCTGAGTTTGTGCTTGTTGGATAGTTATTTTGTTCCTTAGGGATAGTATGGGGGGCACTGAGAGAGTGGAGAAGGTCTGAGGGTGGGCCACCTATCTGGAGTTCTGGAGACTGGTGTGGTCTCTGGTCCAGCAGGGAGTTTCTGTGTAGCAGGAATAATAAAAACCCAGACATAGATATTGGGGTTAAAGCCAAAGATCAGAGAAGCAAAGCAGCGAGCCACTGCAGAGTTCTCACCTCCATTAATGGTCAGACCAAAGGGGTGATCCACCAAACCTCAAACTGCTTCCAACTGAATTGCTCCCCAGACTGTAATACTCTCCACCAAACCCCAGACTGCACTGAGCTCCTGCCTTGTATTCTTCTCTGGTGCTCGGATTAAGGGTGTGTCATCCCAAGTGCTGGGATCAAAGGTGTGAGCTCTGTTTCTCTTTTAGACTGATTCACTCTCATGTAACCCATGGTGGCCTTGAACTCGGATATCATCTATCTCTTGTCTCCTGAGCGTTAGGATCAAAGGTGTGGCTACCACTGCCCATCCTCTATGGCTACTAGTGGCTTTAGGTGTGTGGCTAACTAGTGGTTAAGTGCGTGTGTGGCTAACTAGTGGCTTAGCTCTTAACTAGGTGTGTGGCTAACTAGTGACTTAGCTCTGCACTCTGTCTTCAGGTAAGGTTTATTAGATTATAAACAAAATATCACCACATCTCTGCCTGAGTTTGCCTATCTGTTCTTCTGACTGGAGTGGCCTGAAACTGAGCATTGAATATCTGCCCAAGGTGAGGGAGGGGGCACAGCTTTGGGGACAGGTGGTTGGGCGGGAAGAGGTAACAGTGCTTTGGGTCTTTGGGATCTGAACCAAGGGCGTGTGGGGTGTTCAGGGCAAGCGGGTCTGTTATCTGTTCTTCTGACTAGCATGGCCTGCACCTGGGCAGCAGATGCCTGCCAGAAGTGGGGGCAGGAGCATGGCAGCAGTAAGTGGGCAGTAGGGTGTGAAAAGGATGGCAGGCAGGCAGGCTGCAACCTATCTGTTCTTCTGATGGGCGGGACCTGCACCTTACATGTACCACTCTTGCAGAGGACCCAGATTGGGTTCCCAGCATCAAGATGAGCAGTTCACAACTACCTGTAACTCTAATTTCAGGGAATGTAATGCCTCTAGTCTCTGCAGTCATGTGCACATACTTCACAGAGACACACAAATACACATAAATAATAAAACTAAAAAGATCTATTTAAAATATTACTAGAGCTGTAAAGATGGCCCAGCACTTAAAAGCATTGACTGCTCTCCCAGAGAACATGGGTTCAAATTCCCAAAACCCACAATGTGCCTCACCACTGTCTGTAAGTAAAGTCCCAGGGACCTGATGCCCTCTTTCAGGCCTTCTCAGGCATCAGGCACCCACAGATGTATATGGAGGCAAAATATACATGCACATAGATGGAAAGGTAGAAATATGGACAGATGGATGGATGGATAGATGGATAGATAAATGATAAATGGGTAAAGATAAAAAATAAAAATATTTATTTCTTACATGAGTTTATGTGCACCATAGCTTCTGTGGGCATAAAGGGAGCCTGTAGTTGATGTTTTTTACTCTTTACTCTTTGCTCTTTGGGGGCCCAGCTCTCAAATAAACACACATGGAGTCTTTTTCTTACTTATGAATGCCCAGCCTTGGCTTGGCTTGTTTCTAGCCAGCTTTTCTTTCTTTCCTTTCCTTTTCTTTCTTTCTTATTTATTTATTTTTGAGGCAGGGCGTCTCTGTAGATTTGGATCCTGCCCTGCAACTAACTCTGTAGACCAGGTTGGCCTTGAACTCACAGAGATCCTCCTGCCTCTGCCTCTGCCTCCTGAATGCTGGGTGTAAAGACATGTGTCACCACCCGGCCTAGATATTTTTCTTAAATTATCCCTTCTAGCTTTGCCTTGGGGCTTTTATTTTTCTCTATTCCTGTATTCTTTACTTGTCATTTTGTGGCTTGCTATGTAGCTGGGTAGCAGGCTTGTAATGTCCTCCTCAACTCCTTTTCTCACTCCTCAATCTATTTTCCCTAGATTTTTTTCCTCCTATTTATTCTCTCTGCCTGCCAGCCCTGCTTATCCTTTCTCCTGCCTAGCTATTGGTCTTTCAGCTCATTATTAGACCAATCAAGTGTTTTAAACAGGCAAAGTAACACAGCTTCACAGAGTTAAACAAATGCAATGTAAAAGAACACAACACACCTTTGTATCATTAAACAAATGTTCCACAGCATAAGCAAATGTAACACATAATATTCTACAACAAGAGCCCACAAAGCTAGATCCCCTGGAAGCAGAGTTGCAGGTAGTTGTGAGTCATGTGAATGTGTTGGACCCTAATTCTGGGGTCCTGATGGGCCAATGGAAGAGCCCCACAAAACAAACACCAAAACCAGGAGACACAACAAGCAAGAGGTGTTTATTGAATGAGTGCACTCGGTGTCAGCAATCTCAGCGAAAGCTGCACAGCCCCCAAAGGGTTCAGGCTCTTTTTATAGAGAAAGACCGCAATCAGCATACAATGCATGGGGCACAAGGTGATTTATTAAAAAGTATGATCTCATGTTTGAGAGATCACCCAGGTATTCAAAGGATAAACCATAGAATGACTTGGAAAGTCCCCAGACTGTCGGTTGGCCAGGTGTGACCCAGACAGGGCTGGTCATCTGGAATCATTTGTTCCAGGGTTGGGGGCTTATTTCCTTGTTGTAGGCCAAGACCTGTGAGAAACTTATCTTTGTTTCTAAAGTCTTTCAAGTGCTAAGAGTCTAACTCAGTCTTCTGCGAGAGCAGTATAAATCCTTAACCTCTGAGCCATCTCTCCAGTCCCAAGACTCTTTCCCAATTAGACTCAGAATAAAACCAAGTGTCTTGGTACTCGAGAGATGGCTCGGTGCTTGGGAACACATGTTGCCAACCCCTCTCCCCACAAAAAAATTGCCAGGCAGTGATAGGACATGCCTTTAATCCCAGCACTCAGGAGACAAAGGCAGGTGGATCTGTGAGTTTGAGGCCAGCCTGGTCTACAGAGTGAGTGCCAGGATAGACTCCAAAGCTACACAGGGAAACTCTGTCTCAAAAAACCTAACTAAGTAAATTTTAAAAAGAACACATGTTGCTCTTGCAAAGGACTCAGGTTCAATTCCCAGCACCCGAATCGGGGGTTATAACTATCCATAACTCCAGTTCAGGAAATCTAACACTTTCTTCTGACCTCCTTGGGCACCAGGCACACAATTAGTGCACAGACACACCATGTGTTGTTTTTACCAAGTTCTATTTACCAATAAAGACTCAGTAGTCAGATGTTGGGGTGAAAACTTGCTAGATCAAAGAAGCTGAGAGGCAACCAACTGACTGGAGACCCAACATGAGATGGTCTCTCCTCACTGCCTCTAAACCAAAAAGACTGAGGATCTCTAAGTCACTCCCTGCTCCTTCCTGTGCAACTTTTTGTCCATATTCCTGGGTCCTCTGTATTATCTATAGCTAATTCTTGTCAACTAGTTGCTGTCCCCACCCCTAAACATAGTCTTGGAGTTTCACAGTGCAAGCAAAATATCCCAAACACACATATAAACAAAACACTCATACAAATAAAATAGATACATCTTTTTCAAAAATTTAAAATGCAGCAGGTGATGGTGGTGCATGCCTTTAATTCCTGCAATTGGGAGGCAAAAGCAATCAGATCTGTGAACCTGAGGCTAGCCTGGTCTACAAAGTGAGTTCCTGAACAGTCAGCACTACACAGTGAGACCGTGTCTCAAAACAAACAGAAAACAAATATACTTCCTTGTCAAATGATAAACACAGCACCTTGGGGAAGAGCTGGTGAATGCTTCCGATAAACCCCCACATTTAGATTTAGGTACCTTTACCGTGCTATCATGAAAAACACACTTACTGGTCACCCTCAAATACATGCCCCTACTGGAGGAGAGTGTAGTGAGATATCCACCATGCCCACACCAGTCTCCACGCCCCCAGTGGATGTGGTCGGTACAACAGGTGTGGGCAGGATGGATAGCTCACTACAGGAGAGAATGTGGCCATACAAATGGGAAGAACAGAAGAGATGGGGTGTTTCTGAGATGGGTGACGAGCATTCTGAGGCTGTAGGTCTGAGGAAAGGGTGTCCCAGAAGATGAGTCAATTTGAAATGTGTCTTTGAGAGTAAACTTGATGCCTGAAATTTGACTCTGGACCTCATAGTATTTGGTCATTAAGAAGCATTAGAACTTGACAGGGAATCAAGCTTGCATACCCAGCTTGGGAGCCAAAGGCAGGATGATAGCTTGAGTCCGAGAGTTGCAGACTAGTCTGGATAACATAGACTGTCTCAGGAAGGGAGTGAAGACCTGGAGCGATGGCTTGTATATTTTTGAGGACCTGAGTTTGGATTAAAGTCAACAAGCTGTGTATGGGTTCATGCATTCGTGTATTGCAGGTGTGTAGGGTGTAAGAAATAAGTATTTGTGGCCTTGCTGATTCCCAGACCGGGGAAGAGGGATGCAGAAAGCAAGTCCCAGGTTCAAGGAAAGGCTGCCTCAAAGAAATGAATAGAAAAGTGACAGGAACGATCACTGGACACATTCACCTGACCTCTGAGCCTACATATATACAGTTAAGTTTACAGTGCATGTGCATGTGTGCACGCACACACATACACATACAGAAAAAGAGTCAGTTCAAAGTTCAAAATCAATTATAGCTACAGCTTTCACTATGTTAAGGTAAGGTCTCAAAAAAAAAAAACATACTATCTAAAATAGGGCTACAGTTGCATGTGTGTGAATGAATGGATCCCAAGAAGAACTCCAACCAGGGTGGAGAGAGCTCTTAACCAATTATCTTACACTGTTTTCCCAAACATATTCATTAAAGCTCAGAAACCACAGACTTTTAGAAATCCTTCTTGTGTGTGAGTGCGTGCGTGTGCGTGTGCGCGTGTGTGCGCGTGTGTGGTGGGAAACAGAGGGGGTCTATCTACCATTCCTTATGGAGATGGGCCACACATGCTGGCCTCCCACAGCTAAGCTGCCACTGGTTCCCCAGAAGCCCAGTGCTTTCACAGAAGCACCCTTCAAGGGGACCCATAGCAGTGACAGGCAGGGCTGTGTCTAGGATGCCAAGCAGATAGGAAGGAGGGCTTCAGCCAGAAACAGAAAGAGATGTGAGAGGAAGGGCTCTGCAGCACAGAGTACAGAGCAGAAGTGGCTGATGAGTTGTGGTTTTTCTTCGCAGCACCCGTGCCTCCCATGGCTCCTCCTTCCCCTGGCTACTACCATGTCCTCTACAAAGAGCATGCTCAAGCCCCGATGGCCTGGCATGGAGAGACCTACTGCCTGGTTGGAGGCTACCGTGTCTATGGGGATGCTCCACTGACCACCCCTGCAAAGGCTGAGGAAGAGAAACCAGCACCCAGGAGGGCTCCCAAGAGACAGAGAGTTCAGGAAGAATCAGACCAAGATCTAGGGTGTCCTAGTGCCAAAATTCCTCGTCTCAGAATGAAGCATGATGGCAAAGGGTTACCCCGGCAGAAGCATGCTGCTTGAGCATTCTAGCCCAGAGGACAGGCCGGTAGCTGCCTCAAGTGGCTGAGCCCTCTTCAGCAATAGCCTCCACTGACCACCAATGTAGACAGAACCTTAGCTGTTCTGCCTGTGCCCTCTCCAGTCAGGAATCCACTTGCATGCCAACTAGCCATGAGCAAGGAGCCTCAAGAGGAGCAGATGCTCTGGACAGCCCACCCTCCCTCGGTGCTCTAGAGTCTCTTCTTGGGCAGTAGAAGGCAAGAGTTGCTGTGAGTTGAGGAGACAAGTGCAGAGAGAGGATACAGAGGGGCCAAGCTGGGGCTCTCTCTCTATGAGTAGACTTCTGCTCTGCATCATGCCAGCAGCCAGCAGCACAAGCCAGGAGAGGCTGCACTTCCTAAAACTAGAAGAAACAAGTAGTAGTTAACCAAGGAAGCTCCTGCCTAAGGTCTCAGGAGCAGATGAAGAGTCTAGGGAGACCTGCTAGCTGGAGCATGAACACTGTAGACAAAGTTCAGCAACCACCTCTCCACCTCTATGCTTGAGGCTCACATGCCTTTAATTCCAGCCCATTATGGAAATAGGGAGGTTCCTCCTGGCCAATAGTGATTTCTTTGTGACAAAGTTTGACTTAAAGTCCAAGACTAAGCCTCAAGCCTTTCTGTGCCCCTAAAGTGAATTCTTCACAGAGAACCTGGTTTCTAAAGTCCTGTGCCTTCGTGGATCCCTAAGGTAAACCTTCCTCCTGGCTCCTACTCTTGAGAATGAGAGATTTAAACACCAATACCAAATAAGCAAAATTTTTAATGGTGAAGGCCTGGAAATACAGTTTTAAGAGCTTTTCCTATATTCTGGGTGTAGTGGCACACCTGACTTTGAGATAAATGCTTACATATGAATGAAATACATGTTGTGATTTAATTTACCTTTTTATTCTTTTATTCTTATCCCCAGTGCTGTTGCTCAAATTAGGGCTTTGCACATTCTAGGCAACCCTTCTACTACTGAGCTAGATCCCAGCCCTATGGTTTGCTCTAAAATAGGGCTATAGCTGGACAGATGGCTCAGAGGTTAATAGCACTTGTTGCTCTTCCAGAGGATCAGGGTTAGAGTCTCAGCATCCACATGATGGCTCACAAGCATCTGTAGCTACAGTTCCAGAGGATTCATTGCACTCACTCTTCTGACCTCTGATGGTACCAGGGATGCATGTAGTAGACAGGCATAAATGCAAGAAAATACCATACACACAAAATAATAAAAAAACAAATAAACCTATTTGAAACAAAATCGGGCCAGCAAGTCAGCTCAGCAGGTGAAGCTACTTGTTGCCAAGTTTGACACCCTGAGTTTGAGTTCTGAAATACACATGGTTAAATGAGAGAACCAACTCCTGTCAGTTCTCCTCTGACCTCCACACATGTACACACAGAAATAAGTAAACAAATGTAGTAAAAAATTTAAAAAGCAATCTGTAGCAGAAGCTGGAGAAACAGCTAAGTTGGTAGAGTGCAAGCATATGGACCTGCATTTAGGGTTCCCACTTCACAGGTTACAAGTCTACCAGCATTGTGGAGGGAAGATGGAGGCAGGAAGATGCCTGCAGCTGGCTGGTCAGTCAAGGTAACTGAAATGGTGAGCTTCAGGTCCAATGAGAGACCCTGTCTCAGAAAATAAGATGGAGACTGATTGAGAAGGACACTTTGGAGTTCTCTTTCTTTCTTCTGAAATTTTATTTTTTGGGTATGGGTGTTTTGTCTGGGAATCAAACCCTGTGCTCTAAAAGGGCAGCCAGTGCACTTAACCACCAAGCTGTACACTATCTCTTCAAACCCCCTTTATTTGTATTCCTTATACCCTCAACTTCCTGGGGCTTATTAAGAATGGAGCAAGCATGAAGTTTACCCTCAAACCCACAACTGTGACATGGAGACCAACAAATCTAAAAGTTTCTCTTCCCTTTTGCCACCTGGCTGCATGTGAGTGGCAGTGGGGGAGGGGAAAGGAAAGGAAGGGGCAGCTGGGGTGTTCCTGGAGGAAGCAGAGAGGGTGAGGACTGGGAACAGGGTGGGGCCTGAAAGGAAGGGAACTAACCCCTGGAGGTTTCTGGCTGAATGCAAGCCACAAGAGCCACAGATAAGGTGTGTGAAGCCGCTAGACACAAGTGCCAAGCCTGAGGCAGGCGTCTGCCTTGGTTTCCACACTGAGGTAGGAGGTCAGTCTGCAGCTCCTGGAAGAAGGTACTGGGATGGGGGCTCTGCTGGCCTGGAAAGTATTTCATTCCTTCCATTTCACTAGCTGATTGACTTTGCCCCTGTGCTACTGAGTAAGTATCCCCTGAACCACTTAGTTGCTGGCGCTCAGTTCTCATCTCAGATGGTCATCCTGAGCTTGCTGCACCGGTACAGCATCAGCAGAGGAAGAGAGCAGTCATCACCGTGAACAGTGTGGGGTTAGGGTATGGAGGTGTGGGTTCTAAGTTGCTGGCTGGAGTCTTTAAGGAATGGCCGAGAGGGCAGTGTCACAGGGCACTTGTGGCCCTTGAAGAGGTCAGAGAAGGCAGCAGGTAGTCAGGGATATGATGTGGGCTGTAAAGGTCCACTTTCTTCTAGACCAATCCCTAGAAGCAGCCAAGAAGCCACCGAGATTGGCTCCCTGGTAACAGTAAACAGGGAGAGGGCATGGGACTCCCAGACAGGAGCTGAGTGAGTGCTGCAGGCCTCTACTAGCCCAGCCTGTGGAGGTGGGGTTAGAGACTGGGCTAGTAGGGCTGTAGGTCCCCCGGGAGGCTGAGCTGCACTACTACAAACCTAGTGGCTGTGTCGAATCTGTTGACCTCAAATCCCTTCTCACCAGACCCAGTCGCTTCGTGGCTTGAATTGAGGGGATTATATCGTACCTTGTGTCCCTCTCAGGTTTTTGTATCAGTGCTCGCTTGCCCCGCCCTGAGAAGATGTGGCTCAAGGGCTTCCTGGAGGGTCACCCGATGCTTAGCCCAGTGCTTTCAGTATTCCTGTTGGTGCTGCTGCTGTTAGGACCTTCACAGACCAAACCAGGCGTCTTTGGTGCTTCCACTGCACCAAGCACCCCCAGAACCCTCACCAGGCCCGACAGCACCTCCAGCATCTCAACCAATGCCGGCAACGCCAGTTTTCTAGACCTGAGAGATCGTGCGAGAGCCCTGATGCAAGACTTCCCCCTTGTAGACGGGTGCGTATGAGATGGCTTGGGAACTGGTCAGAATGAAACTGGGTTGGGCATACTCGTGAGCTGCAGAGGGTTCTGAGCCTGCCAGACTAATAAAGTTCCTCTCTCTCCTACTACCCACTCTACATGCTGTTACTATCACTCTGTTACTATCACTCTGTTAAAGGGTCTCAAGAATTTATTTAGGCCCACTCGGTATTGTCTGGGCAACAATGTGGGTTAGAATTATTTCTGCTAGACCTGGAAACCATATGCCCTCTGAGGGAGGGAGGGAGAGAGGGAGGGAGAGGGGTGGGAGGAAGAGCTCCAGCGGGGTGGGGGGATGGGGGGAGCGAGTCCTCTAGCCCAGGCTGCTATTCAACTCACTAAGTATTTTAGACTGGCCTGGAACTTTAAATGATGCTTTTGCCTTAGCCTTCTGAGTGCTGGAATTACAGGCAGAACTATTCCACCAATTTTGTTTGACCTAACCTCTTTCTTGACTCTCCTACAGCCACAATGACCTGCCTCTTGTCCTGAGGCAATTTTACCCAAATGGTCTACAGGATGCCAACCTGAGAAACTTCACCTATGGCCATACCAGCCTGAATAGGCTTAGAGATGGCTTTGTGGGAGCCCAGGTAACACACACACACACACACACACACACACACACACACACACCAGCATGGCTGCTGGGGAAGTTTGGAGAAATTGGGGCCCCAGAAATGAGAAATGACAAATTAGTCATATGGGAATTCAGTTACTAGAGTGACTCTTAAAAAAAAAAAAAGAAAGAAAGAAAGAAAAGAAAAAGCCATGCTGTGTGGCTAAAGGGGTCAATCGTGAGCCAGCAGGTGGGTACCACACAGAGCAAGTAGTGCATTCATTATATGTGGTTTCTAGACCCACCAGTCCAACAGCTGTAAGGCCCAGGTAGTTCCCCTACACAAGCCAACCCCTGGCTTTGCCTCCAGTTCTGGTCCGCTTACGTACCGTGTCAGACCCAGGACCGGGATGCCTTGCGCCTCACTCTGGAGCAGATTGACCTCATCCACAGTATGTGTGCCTCTTATCCTGAGCTGGAGCTCGTGACCTCAGTTAAAGGTAAGTGGACTTCTTCAAGGTATTGGGGACTGGATGAAGCTACTACTTTGGCTCCTGAAAATAATCACCTGACCTATGCCTACAGCTCTGAACAGCACCTGGAAAGTGGCCTGCCTCATTGGTGTGGAGGGTGGCCACTCGATAGATAACAGCCTCTCTGTGCTTCGAAGTTTCTACCAGCTGGGGGTGCGCTACCTGACCCTCACACACACCTGCAACACACCCTGGTGAGCACAGTGCAGATGGTATGAGCCAACTGAGGCAGAAATCTGTCCTGTGGACATTCACCAAGATTTACCCTTACCATCTGGGACTCACACATGGGGACTGGTATTTGGGTTTTTATGAAGCAAGACTAGGATTCCTCCAGTTGTCAGGCAGAGTCCAACCTGGGTTTTTGAATTAGCTCTGTGGGGTTGCAGAGATGAAGAGTTTGGAAGGGCATGACCACCAATTAGATTGCCCCTTGCCTGTCTTACAGGGCAGAGAGCTCATCTAAGGATGTCCACTCATTCTACAGCAGTGTCAAAGGACTGACCAGCTTTGGTGAAGTAAGGACTCTGAACGATATTCCACTCCACACAAATGCACATGCCCCTTTTCTGAATGATTAATGCATGCATATGTGTACCCCTGAAACCCTCCTCCTAACCTGCCCTCACAGAAGGTGGTAGCAGAAATGAATCGCTTGGGTATGATGGTTGATTTGTCCCATGTCTCGGATGCTACTGCACAGCGGGCCTTAGAAGTGTCCCAGGCACCTGTGATCTTCTCTCACTCGGCTGCCAGGGGTGTGTGCAGAAATGCTCGGAATCTTCCTGATGACATCCTGCGGCTTCTGGTGAGAAACTTCGTAGCGCTGGAACCTACATTAAGAAATTCAGACCAGAAGGCCTTGAATTTGAATGCTTATCCCCTCCATTTCCTTCATAAACCCATAGTCCATTGCCCCTAAACTCTTGGAATGGGGAGGTTGTTGCAGATAAATATTCTTATATCCCTTAAATTTAGGGCCAAGACATCACCTATATTAGAGTCAAGCCTTCCTCATTGACACAGACCAGGGAGGTCAAGTCCCCTCTGGCCCCCAAAGCTTTCTCACAAGGGTATGTAGGCACATAACCATGCCAGGGAGTCCAGTTGAGTATCTTTTTGACCATCCTTGCAGAAGAAGAATGGTGGCATTGTGATGGTGACATTCTCTGTAGGGGTACTGCAGTGCAGCCCCTTAGCCAATGCATCCACTGTGGCAGGTGAGTCTCCCGAAACCTGCCTCTCAATACATCTTTTTTTCCTTTTCTTCCTTTCTTTTTTTAAACCCCCAAAGAATTTTTATTGGAGTTTGAAAGGACGATATAACAGGAAAATCCAGTTGTAAACATCAGCATCTTCAGTGAGGAGGGAAGGAAATAGATGGGTAGATAAGAGGGAGACTGGCAGAGGGAGAAGAAAGGAAAAAGTTATACTTTGAGGTAAATCCCTGAAAGGGTCCATGCTTAGCAATAAAGATTTGGAAACAGTTCCCTCCTAGGCTTTCTGACCAGTATTGAGTTTGACCTGAAGACTTCAGAACAGTTTAGACAAAAATGCTGCGATGGGAACTTAGGCTGCAGTTCCATTTGTAGGGTGCTTGCCTCCTATAAAGGCCTGGATTGACCCTCTCCCCTCCAAATCAAGATGCAAAGATTCCAAACTGCCTTGTCATGGGTCTTGGGGTCAGTTCTGCAGCAATGTGCCAACTATCTGTGCTTCTGCATGGGCTACCAAAGCACCCTACCCCTGCCTCTGCCTCCAGTCTTGTCCAAAGGAGACCCTGCCAGGTTTTCCAGACTGGAATCAGAGATGGAGTAGGTTAGGTATGACTTAAATCAGTGGCCCTCCAAAGGTTTTCACTCCAACCTGAAGTCTAGGTTAGTTCAGGTGCCAGGTATGTGGAGTACCAGCTACAATAAGAGAAATCTGTTTTGGATCACAGAAGCCATCTTCTAGTAATTCACAAAAATGACAAAGGGAAAGAAAAGAATTTCTTCAGGCCTTCTGTTTGTTTGCTTTGATTTTTATTAGTAATTTATTTTATGTGTGTGGGTGTTTTGCTTGCATGTATGTCCGTGTGTCCCATACATGCCTGCTGCCACAGGGCATCAGATCTCCTGGTATTGAAAATATAGATGACCCCGTGGGTGCTGGAAATTGAACCAAACTTGGGTCCTCTGGAAGAGTGGGCACTGTTCATAGCCACTGAGCCATCTTTCCAGCTTTCTTTGGGCTTTTTAAGAAATATAGAGTTGTTGCTTTGACCATATATATACAAATCTATAAGAGGGGTGATATTGTAGACATCAAGGAGATGGGCACTGTTAAAAAGGAATGTTTCCTAAATGTTACCTTGGAAAACAGTATCACTCAGCATACTGTTGATTTTGTTGTAAACAAGCAGGTGAGCGGCAAGATTCTTGCCAAGAAAATGTTCAGATTGAGCATATTAAGCTAAGAGCCATGATGGCTTCCTGAAATGGGCGAAGGGAAACAAGAAAAACAAAAGAAAAAAATTAAAGAATAGGAAGCCAGGGAAAGGTCAGCTGAAGCTCCAGTCTCCTCCACCCAGAGATGCTCACTTTGTGTGGACTGACTGGGAAGGAGTCCAAGCCACTGGAGCCTGTTCCCTGTAAAGTTGGGGCTTAATGTACAAAAAGGAATACAAATCCTAGACTGTAACCAAAGGAGGAATGGGGTTGGCTAAGCCTAGTTCCAGGGCCACTCTTTCCTTGGAGTCCCGTTCTGCTAACTGTCCATCTCCCCAGATCACTTTGACCACATCAAGGCAGTCATTGGATCTGAGTTCATCGGGATTGGTGGGGATTATGATGGAACTGCACAGTGAGTACTTCTCTGTGGCTTGTCTCAAGCTGCTGTCACCACAGCGAGGTCCTCAAGGTCTTTAGCACATCTCTCCATCTCCAGGGTCCCTTTCCTGTGCTCTCCTGTATGTATTCCGCCCAAGGTCCCCACTAAGGCCCTCTGAGAAAGCCCCTCTGCAGCACATGCACCCACCACAAACCTGCTCCCTCTGAACTGTCAGCAACGTCTGGTGTGGACTATTTTCTCTGCCAGCTTTTGTTGTTGCTGTTATTTTGAGACAGATTACTCTGTGTAGCCCTGGCTATCCTGGAACTGCCCCTGTAGACCAGGCTGGCCTTAAACTCAGAGAACTGCCTGCCTGCTGAGATTAAAAGCAGGTGCCACCCCTGCCCAGCTTCTCTGCCAGTTCTGAGGATACTTCCTGCCTTTTTTCCTACCCTCCCTTCCTCTTGTTTGTTTGTTTGTTTCTATTTTGGACACAGGGTTTCACTATGAATCCCAGGCTGGCTGCAAACTATTTTATTCCTTTTCTTTAAAAAAATTAATATTTGGGAAGTGGGATGGGTGTGCATACTATGGACACATGTGGCAGGTGAGGGGTGGGGTGTGCATACTATGGCACATGTGTGGCAGGAGTCACTTCTTTTTTTCAACCATGAGGATTCCAGAGATTGAACTCAGGTTGTTGGATCTTTAGTCACAGAACCAATTTGCTGGCCCCTGCTCTTTTTTCTTCAGCATCAACTTCAGAACCTTCCCGAAGTTAAGCCAAGGCCTCTACCCATGAGCAACAGCTTCAGGGCCTCCTGGCCCTTTTTCTTTTCTCTCTTCCTTTCTTCCTTTCTTCCTTCCTTTCTCCCTTCCTTCCTTCCTTCCTTTCTTTCAACAGAGGGATATTTGCATTCATTAGAAGACATAAGTCTTTTCTTGTTTGATTTTGTTTGAGACAGGGTTTCACTATGTAGCCCTGACTGGCCTGAAGCCTGCCTCAGCCTTCTGAGTGCTGGAATTAAAGGCATGCATCACCACCGGCCTGCTGGGAGGCATAAGTCTTAAAGTACCATTCAGTGAGTTTTAGAAAATATCCAAAGAAGGGGCTAGGAGTGATAGTGTACTTGATTATCTAAGGTTGCATATTTTTAAAGAGGTTCGAGATCTCCTTTGAAGGATTAGGACAGGAGCAAACAAACTACCTACTCCTTCCTACTCTCCATCCCCACCTATGACCATTGCTGAGGAAACACCTCAGATAGAAGTGAGGTTTTGAGTGGGATTAGGATACCAGGTCTAAGGCTTACCTGCTGATGACTACACAGGTTCCCTCAGGGGCTGGAGGACGTGTCTACATACCCAGTCCTCATAGAGGAGTTGCTGAGACGGGGCTGGAGTGAGCAGGAGCTTCAAGGTGTCCTTCGAGGAAACCTGCTGAGGGTCTTCAGACAGGTGGAACAGGTATGTTGAGATGGCAAGAGGCAGTGCATGGGGTCTGAACAGGTGCTTCTGTAACAGGAGACCTAGAACAGCTGCTTACGACAACTGTCACCTCCAGGTACGGGAGAAAAACAGATGGCAAAGTCCCCTGGAAGACATGATTCCAGAGGAGCAGCTGAACAGTGCTTGTCATTCAGTCTTGCCACGTCGACATCAGAAACAATCAGAGATCCCAACATATCATACACTCAAGTTATCATCTGGGTGGTCACACTCAAAATCTTCTCCCCACATAGTCCCAAGCCTCACCATTGTTGCAACCTTTTTAGGCCTTATAGTATGACTGTGATGGTTCATGCCATTCTCCCAGATATAATTCTTGTACCCTCGGACCCCCTTCATTTATGCAGGGACAAACGTTTCCTGAAATAAATGTTTTTAATGTAGAAACAGATGTGTCCTTCTCTGTGATGGGGTAGAGTAACACAGGCCCCCAGAGCACGTAGACAGTGGAACTTGGCATTTAAGCCACCATTTGCTCAAGGAAGTTGTCAGTGATCTGCAGAACCTAAGTGGTTGGGCTCAGCACCAGATGAAGTCAATGGGGTGGGTCTGGCTTCAGGGAAGATCTGGAATTCTGAGGTCTTTCTGAGTATTTCACCTCAATCCACAAACGGAACCACTGACTCCCACTGTACAGTCTCTCAGAGGATTCTCTAGATCCTTAAGAAGGGAACCTGACTGGATCATGAGTAACCTTCATTTTTCTTGGGACAAAGCCCAGAACACTAAGACACATAATGGACCCTGAGGCCCCGATGGCTGGGCTGACTTTTATGGGGTGATCTCTCAGTCTCCAGGAAGTTCCTCTCTACCCCATATAACATCCTACTCCCAGGACCTGAGTAGAAATTAATAGCAACTGCAATAAAAAATAATAGATAATATTAAGAGCTATTACTGGGCTGCTAATGTAGTTCAATTGGTAGAGTGCTTGCCTAGCATGCAGGAAGTCCTGAGTTTGATCCCCAGCACTGCAGAAAACCAGGCTTTTCTTTAAACATACCTATGACCCCAGCACTTGAAAAGTAGAAGCAGGAAGAACAGAAAGTTCAAAGTTAGCCTGAGCTATGTAACCAGGAACACATGGGAACATGTCTCAAAAAAACAAAACAAAACAAAAACAAACAAACAAAGAAAAAAACAAATGAGAGCTGGGAAAGTGGCTCAGTCATCTTGCCATACAAGCATGAGGACCTGAATTCAGCCCCTCAAACTCAAATTTTAAAAAGCCCCAGGGCTAGAGATGGTTCAGTGGTTAAGAGCACTAGATGCTCTTTCTGAAATTGGTTTTTGTTTTTTTTTGTTTGTTTGTTTGTTTTGTTTTGTTTTTTTGTTTTTTTTTTGTTTTGTTTTTGTTTTTTTTGTTTTTGTTTTTTTTTTTATTCCCAGAAGCCAAACAGTGGCTCACAACCATCCATAACTCATTCCAGGAGATGCAACATCATCTTCTGACCTCCATAGGCCCCAGGCACAAACATGATGTACATATACATTTCAGCGAAACACTTACACACATTAAAGAAAGAAAAAAAGCAGGCAGGAAGGCAGGCAGGCAGGCAGGGAAGGAGGGAGGGAAGAGGAAAGGAGGAAGGGAAGGGAAGGGAAAAAAAACTCTGCTGTTACTGCATTATGATATGTATAGAGTAAAAGGTCCAAGACCACTTCCAGGTTTGAAAACCTACCAAAACCACCAGTCCCTGAGCATGAATACACACCAATCCCTGGCCATGAAATCCCACCAATCCCTGAACTCAAAATCAGACCAATCCCTGAGCTTGGCTTGAAATCTCACCAGTCTCCACCCTGGAAATCTCTACCCTGGAAAACTCCCCCAGAAACCCTGTACATGTCAGTCTCTTGCTCTATTTCACACTGCTTCTCATCCAAGCAGAGGCAGCGCCCTCTTGTGTCTCTCCCAATAAATCTCTTGTGCGATCTGTTGTGCAATGTAACTGTGGTATTCCTTGTTTCAGGACTGCCAGGATACCATTCCTTCAGAGCTGTCCACAAGGTCCACAAGGAAGCTTTTCCCCTCAGAGTTGTAAGTGGAGAGTTAGAGACTGACATGGGTCTTACTGACCAGCCAGCCAGCTTAACATAATTCCCAAACTCCAGGTCAAATGAGAGACCCTGATAAAACAAAAACACAAACTGAGGTGGATGCTCCTGAGGAAGAACCACAGAGATTGACCTCACACATCTACATACATATACACACATGCAAATGTACATAAACACAAATATCTACATACCCCCCACACAGAGACAGAAATAAAGAATGAACAGGAGGTAAACAAAAAAATAGGTTTTAATAAAGATATTACATTTGCTTTGCTTAAGAAAAGAAAAATTGCTGAGTGGTGGTGCATACCTTTAGTGCCAGCACTCTGGAGGCAGAGGTAGTTGGATCTCTGTGAGTTTGAGGCCAGCCCGATCTACAGAATTCCAGGACAAGCTCTAAAGCTACAGAGAAACAATACCAGTAAAAGTCAAATGATAATAATAATAACAATAAAATAACCACGCAGTGGTGGCCCATGCCTTTAATCTTAGCACATGGAAGTCAGAGGCAGGTAACTCTATGGGTTCAAGGCCAGCCTAGTCTACATAGCAAGTTCCAGAATAGCCAGGGCTACACAGAGAAACTCTTGTCTCGAAAAACCAAAAATAATACTGGTGTTATGGCTTATCTTAGCAATCCCAGTACTTGGAAGACTGAGGTAGAAGGATTGACAAGAGTTCAAGGCCAACCTGGTCTGTACAGTGAATTCTAAGCCAGTTTAGCTACAGAGTAAGATCTTGGGGGTGGAGGTGGGGGGAAGCCAGCCAGCAATGTAAAGTATAATAATTTCTGATTTGGGTTTAAATGAACTATATAAATATAAAATAATGTGATGTGTTGGGAGGTGCGTGTGTGGATGTATGTGCGTGTGGAGGTCAGAGGTCAACCTCAGATTTTTTAGGATATCAGTGACTATTTTTGTAATACAGGGTCTCTGATGGCCCGGAACTCCCAAGTAGGCTAGACTGGCTGAGCATGGAGCCTCAGGCATCTATGTGTCTCTACCTCTGCAAAGCTGGGATGATCAACACAAACAGCACTCACAGTGTTTTGTTTTAATTATGGGTTCTATAAGTTGGATTTAGGTCCTTATGCTTGCACCTCAAGTACGTTACCAACTGAGTTGATTTCTTGACCTAAATAATGTGAATTTCAATGCATTTACTTTTAGTGGACAAGCACAGGCTCATATGGTGCTACTTGGCCCGGGTGAGTGGAGGACACCCATGGGCTCTTGGTGTGTAAAGGACACACGGGCAGGAAGAAGATGACACCTGAGATGGCCCTGGCCATAGCCACATGGTGTGGGCCAGGTGTGAGAAACACCTGGAAGAGCTGGCCCCATCCCTGGCTGGTATACAGTGGTGTGGGCAAAGGAGGGCTAGCCACACCCCTCACCACCTGTGGCAGATGGGAGAGCTTCCCCCACCTCCATGACTGGGGAGCAAGGGAAAGCTGGCCCTGAAGTATGGAGGCAGGAGAGCTGGCCTGACAAACCTTGTCAGGGTTGTACGGGAGAGCTGGCTTTGCCTTCTCACCTCCAGCACTCAGCAATTGGGTCCTACACAGCGCCTGGGCAATGTGGTAGAGCTGGCCCTGGTGGTATGGGCATGGGAGGAGACCAGGCCCAAGTGCATGAGTGGGGGCGCTGGCCCTACCCCTTTCCAGGGCAGTGCTGGAGAGCAAGTTATGAGAGGGTGGGAGAGCAGGTCCTGCCCCTAACCAGCTACCATAGACAAGGGAGCTGGCTCCACCCCTCACCTGGACAAAGCAAGAAAACTGGCCCTGGTGCCTTGGGCATCAGACAGCAGATGGACCCACCAACTAAGCTACTTCCCATATCCAGGGCTTTGAGTTGGCCCACTCCAACATCTTTCCCATGTAAAAACTGGTAGAGTGTGTGAAGGAGCCAGTCCTGCAGAACCAAAGCTGCAGGATCTCCATGGCACAGGGCAACAACAGGATATCTGAGAGGAAGGAGTCCTGGGGAGGGTCCTGTATTAATAGTGTAGCAGAAGCAGAGGTCTTGAATCAAACCAATGGCTCACTGCAATGAACATTAGCAAGTAAAGCTGTTTAGGCGTATTAAAGTACATAGTGGTCCCTGAGTACATCCCAACCTACCCCCCACCCCCTTCTCTTTTATAGACAGGATTTCTCTGTGTAACAGTCCTGGCTGTTCTGGAACTTGATATGTAGACCAGGTTGGCCTCATGAACTCACAAAGATCTGCCTGCTTCTGTCTCATGAATGCTGGGATTAAAGGCTTGTGCCAGTATTGCTCAACCGCCAACCTCTCCATTTCTCAAAGAACTGGGTCTTGCTTCATTTGATTCACAATTATTTGAAAGATTCACACAGAAGGTGCAACCAAGTGTCCTTTGTGATGGCAGAGATTTGAACCTTGGCCTTGAATAACTTGGATTTCAACTCAAACGCTGTCACAGAAAATCATTCTATTGGGCAGAAGGGATCCTACTGATTCCAAAATAAGCAGTAAATAAAGACAGGTACCTCTTTAGCATGAGGGAGGGGATTGTGGATTTTCTCTACAGTGTTCCTGCTCCAGCTAGCAGGTCTCCCTAGACTCTTCATCTGCTCCTGAGACCTTAGGCAGGAGCTTCCTTGGTTAACTACTACTTGTTTCTTCTAGTTTTAGGAAGTGCAGCCTCTCCTGGCTTGTGCTGCTGGCTGCTGGCATGATGCAGAGCAGAAGTCTACTCATAGAGAGAGAGCCCCAGCTTGGCCCCTCTGTATCCTCTCTCTGCACTTGTCTCCTCAACTCACAGCAACTCTTGCCTTCTACTGCCCAAGAAGAGACTCTAGAGCACCGAGGGAGGGTGGGCTGTCCAGAGCATCTGCTCCTCTTGAGGCTCCTTGCTCATGGCTAGTTGGCATGCAAGTGGATTCCTGACTGGAGAGGGCACAGGCAGAACAGCTAAGGTTCTGTCTACATTGGTGGTCAGTGGAGGCTATTGCTGAAGAGGGCTCAGCCACTTGAGGCAGCTACCGGCCTGTCCTCTGGGCTAGAATGCTCAAGCAGCATGCTTCTGCCGGGGTAACCCTTTGCCATCATGCTTCATTCTGAGACGAGGAATTTTGGCACTAGGACACCCTAGATCTTGGTCTGATTCTTCCTGAACTCTCTGTCTCTTGGGAGCCCTCCTGGGTGCTGGTTTCTCTTCCTCAGCCTTTGCAGGGGTGGTCAGTGGAGCATCCCCATAGACACGGTAGCCTCCAACCAGGCAGTAGGTCTCTCCATGCCAGGCCATCGGG